ACGGGGGGGGATACCGTACCCCCAGGATTCTAGGGGGGATACCGTACCCCCAGGATTCTAGTGGATGGGGGAATTAACCCCAATAACTGCGCCTACCCCCCCCCCTTCCCCCCAACTTATTGTATGTTCTATTGGATAAAACAAAAGAAAACTTTCTGAAGGTGTTTAAGTAAAGCGCCTTTTTAGAACTTTTCATTGTATTTTTTTTTACTTTTTATTTGTTTACTTTATTGAATAGTTGAGAAAACCCACTTTGAGGACGTTTATGTTCTTTAAAAGTTTCATTTTATTCATTTTTTGGCTGAAAATTATGTTTTCTAGATTTTCAGTTTTACTTTTAGGATTAAAAAATGATTGTTGACAAAAAATCTAAACAGATTTATCTGTTAAATGATAAGTTTAAAATTTTAAAAAGTTTTGAAAGGAAAAAATATTCTTTTTTAACGTTTTTCTAGTTTTTGGTAAGTCCGGCCCAAGGGACCTTTACCAAGTATCTGAACAACTTGCACAACTTGTATTATACAGTGTCTACCAATGAACATGGGAGATAAGTGACGAGATTAACAATATTGTTATTTCGAATCAAATATTATTTACACATGCAATCTAGATATTGTCACTCAATTCCCATGTTAATTGGGACTCCCTGCACTTTGGTTAAATATACATTAATAAATTGAAGTCATTTCTTAACCTTCAAGATGATCAGAATTTTTTATTTTAAAGGAACTGTGAGCGTAGTTTAAAGGAACCCTCCATGCAAAGCTGGCAATGAATGTTTTTGTTTATTTGCACTGTTTATTTTCATTTGTGGTTTATCTGCAAAAGTAAGTTAATAAACTCTTCTGAGTGAGAAAAACGAAGTTATCTTCCAAGTTTTTGATTAGATTAGGGTTAGAAGAGTACTACTGTAAATTAGGAATTGCTATCTATGCATGGAGAATTAAAAATTACACAAACTGTCCCTTTATTAGTAAATCTATAGGGCTAAAACTTGCATAATTTAGTAAATCTAAGGCCGAATTTAAAGAATTTAAGCCGCGACTTAAACATGATTGGTTTCACTTAAAATTGTATTCAATTTTTCAAGATTTAAGCCGGTGCTCAATTTAAAGCGGTTTTTGTTGGATTTGAGACGCGGCTTGAATTCATTAAATTCGGACTCAAGTAAATCTAAAACTTGCATAATTTTTTCCTGCTTTAATATTGGAAATTTTAATTAAGTTCTTAAAAAAAGTTTGAACTTTTTTTACATTTTAAAATTTTGACTCCATTTGTAGAGTGACTTGTTCAATTCACAACGGTACTATTTAAAACTTATAATTTAACATTTTTATCTGTGTTTTAAAACTTGGTGTGTGCAAGGTGCGGGTCAAATATCTTATTGTCTGGTGTCACAGAAAGTAAACATTTTGTTTCTAAACATGTTTTCAGGTAATTGGCATATCACTCAAGAAATGGCAGATTACTTGGAATTACGTGTACAATCCCTTTAAGAAAGGCATAAAAAGGTTTATTTTCAGTGAACACATTGTAACCTACAATTTAAGATTAGAAAGAAATAGAAAAGGTTTGAATTGTGAGATATTACCTTTTCTACACATTTGAATTAGGAATCACAGTCATGCAAAAAGAACTATTTAACAAATCCTCTTATGCAAAATTTCCACAAAAAACCATATTTTTTGCGCAAAATTTGAATTTTCGCGCAAATATTTTTTAGCGAACCTTTGCGCATGAAGCGCATGCATTTTGCGCGTTTTTGCGCAATTTTTTGCGTAATTTGAGCAAAACCGGAATTATTAAGGAAAACGTAAACTTTTACGCAAATTATATTATTGCAAATTGATTCAGCACAGAATCAAAATACTTTTAGATACAAAATCTTTAAATTGAGGGACAAAAATTAATAAAACAGAAATAAAAAATTAATGCCTAGTTTTTATAGATGTCTGAATCTTTGTGATAGTGTTAAACTTTGATATTTCTAGTCGAATGCATATGATTGAAATATCAAAGGTCTATTTATGCCATCTGAGATAAAGAAAAGTTACATCCTCGACTTTGAAGTGTCGCAACGCCTTGGTCTTTGGTTTTACCTCGCCAACTCACTGATACTTTTTTTTTGTATGCCTAAGCATGTACATTTCAAAAATGCTACGCGTCTGTTTCTATCTTAAGTTTAAAATGAGTATATTGGCAAAATACTACTCGAATTGTGTGTCATCATGCATCCCGCTATCAGGTTGCAAAATAGAGTTTTAGACAAGTAATCAGTTCCTTTTTAAGCATTACAATCATATCCGAAATTTGTTTCAAATTTGTATGTAGAATTTGTTCCGCAAAATTGTGCAAGACAAAATAACGCAATTTGGCGCAAAATGAAATTTGCAAATGATTGCGCAAAGTTCTATTTTTTCGCGCAAAAATGTAGCGCAACGAAAGCAAAAATTTGCGTTTTCTTTCGCAAAAATTGTGCAAAAGTTTTGCGAATGGAAACCCTACATACGTTGAAACTTGAAATTATGCAATAGGTTATAAAAAATGGCTGACGCGCGCAAGCCATAATCTTTTAAAAATGTTCAAAAATAAAAAAAAATGTTAAAGGGTTTTTGACTCTAGAATTTTTAAAATTTAAAAAATTTCAACGAAATTTTTGAATGCATTTCAAAAAAGAAGAAAAAGGTTAGGAATCCTGTAACTGTTAATGGGACTGTAAAGAAAAAATGAAAGGGAGTATAGGCTGAAAGCTGATACATGTCACGTGATACAGACAGAGACAGGTGACAATTGGTTATGATCACAAGATACGGACGTATCAATTATATTATCAATAAAAATGAAAAATTGTTAAATTCAAATTATAAAAGGAGCAAAACTGAGTTTTTCAGGCTCCTCTGGGATATCGTCGTTTTCAGATTGGTTGCGTATTTACTGAATATGATCTGTTTAAAACTTAGAATCTTATACCAAATCTCACATACATGAGTTTTGGTAAAAACTTGACATAGTTTTATATTAATTACTCGATACAGGCACATGAGATAGAACTCTTATAGGTCTAGATCAGCTCCTAAAATGCTCAGGTTTAAGCTTATATCCCATTTCATTTTTCCTTTACAGTCCCTTTAAGCTTATTAGATATTTGGATTCACCGACAAAGGGTCAAACGACACAGGGTCAAACGACACAGGGTCAAACGACACAGGGTCAAACGACAAGGGGTCAAAAATGCGACAAAGGGTCAAACGACACAGGGTCAAACGACAAAGAGTTAAAAAATGCGACAAAAGGGCATTTTTTTTAAATTTTGACTTTTAGTATTTTTTTGTTATTATTGAGGGTTAGGTTAGGTACATTCTAGGACGAGCGCTGCGCCTAGAACAGGCTGGGGAGCCGAGCGCTGCGGCCACGGGTTAGGTTAGTTAAGACACTTTCTGGCCCGAGCGCAGCGGCTAGGACAGGCTAGGGGGCCGAGCGCTATGGCCACATGGTCAATTATATCCATTTATTTATTATTATTTAGGGTTAGGTTAGGTTAAGACACTTTCTGGGCAGAGCGCTGCGGCTAGGACAGGCTAGGGGGCCGAGCGCTGCGGCCACATGGTCAATTATATTGCCAACCCTACCATTATGGAAGCCAGAAACAGACTAAAGTTTTAAATCTTCAAAAAAGTTTGGCGGATTTTTTGTGATTAAAATTGCGAGTTTCCTATGATTCAAATCAAAAAATGTTTTTATCATTTTGACCTTTTGTCGTTTGACCCTTTGTCGCACTTTTGACCCTTTGTCGTTTGACTCAGTGTCGTTTGACCCTGTGTCGTTTGACCCTGTGTCAGATTGTGGAATCCTTTTTTTGCTAAACATAACTGTTAAAAAAGAAATTCCATTGCTGTGTCCAATATATTAAAAATTTGAGAAGACTCATAAAATACAAATTTATCAGTGCAGCCCACTTTGGTTTTCCCTATTGGCTAGATTTGTACTGTTCGCTTCTGATTGGTTGATGAGAGAAAGTCAAGCAAATTGCCCCTGATTGAATATCTTAAAACGCTGATAGAATATTTTAACAATTTAAAAAATGTCGAGCCGAAGTCAAGAATCAATAACAAATTGTGAAAAAAAGACAGAAAAGTTTATTTTGAGCATTTCAAACTTTTATGACGAATTTTTGAAGAAAGTTTTATGACTAGAATTTTCTTTTGTTGTTTCTCTACAAAAGTGACTTGCTTCTTGCTTATAACTCTTATAACCAACGAACAGAATTCAACACATTTTAGATACAGGGTGTCCCACGAAACATGACAATAGCAAGACGACTTGAAAGTCGTCTTTGGTATTTGAATTTATTTGTGACATTTAGTCTTCTATCTACTTTAACATGTATGATTCTTGAAACAACTATCACATAATTCTCCTAGCCCTGGCATTTCCAAAAAGTGATCTGCGTTTTTTGTGCTTTCAATATTACTGGAGATATGAAGAGTTTGGTTCAGATTTCAATTTTGTTAAATAAAAGCAAAATTGTCGAAATCTGAACGAAATTCTTCATATCTTGGGCAATATTGGAAGCACAAAAAAGGCAGACCACATTTTGGAAATGGCAGGACAAGGGAAATTTTGTGATTATTATCTCTAGAAATTTACTTCTAAAATTAGGTTGACAAATAAACGCAGCAAATTATATAATAAATCAAGACGACATTCAAGTCGTCCTGCATACTGTCATGTTTCGTGGGACACCCTGTAGTAAAACGTCATCCTCCAAATTATTGATAAGATTGTGGTTTTAACGGTACAGTTGTGGATCAGGCATGCCCTTTTTAAATTTAGGGTCAATGCAAGTTTACAACAGTCCCTTTAATGGTTTCTTACTTGATCCTCAAGTTTAAAACTGACCATATTTGATATCGAGATCATGCGTTTAAGATTAGCAATATCCACACCAAATTTCAAGTTTCAGAAATGAAGAATTATAAAATTTTCTTTATTTCAGAATTAAAATGAGGGATTTTATAATCGGATGTCGACAAAACTGACTGAAAGTAAACAAGATGAGATAAGGCGATGAAAGTTTATAGATAAACAGGAATAAAAAATCAAGGAATATTAGAAAAAAGTTAAAAGTTTGAACAATGAGCTAGTGAAGAATGTGCTCTAAGCTTGAGGATTGTTTGTTCTCCCGTCTAGGGTTCAGAGTTTGTATAATCTCGATATTAATTCTTATCCTTGGATTCCTCGCTCTCAATCTCAGGTAGGAACTCACTTTTTTTTATTCAGGGTAATATATTTTGCTTAAAATTCACAACCCCATACTCTTTAAAAAGTTTTTTTTTGTTCTCATTGAAGTAAGAGTAATAAATAAATTTCAATCTCAGGTACGGCCGTGTCAATTTTGTCAATAAGGGCTATATATTTGCAAAAAAATCACACACCCCCCCCGCCCCCAACCTACTCTTCGAAAATTAATTTTTTCCTGGAATTTTAGGACCTATTTTTTTAAATATCTAAAATAGAGGAAATGTAGCAATATTACTTTCAATCTCACATTTCTTATTAAGGGGTACATATTTGGCTACAAATTCACTACCTCCCACAACGTACTCTTGAAAAACCATTCTGGAACGTTAAATACCTAACAAGTAGAGGAAATTATATTAAATTTTACTTTAAATCTCAGGTAGGGGCTCACTTTTCTTATCCAGGGGTGAACAGGGTGTCTCATTCACTTTACGCACTTGAGGTCAAAATTAGGAGAGAAATAGCAACCCTGGACCAAAAGGCTATTACTGAAGTGAGATTAAGGTCTTGCTGCTAATAGTGGACATTTTGAATAAGATTGTAATAAACTGTAACCTGTCATTGAATACAAAATTGTACAAACGGAGATTATCTTTTACTTTTTACTAGCTCCAGTTGGAAACATTAGGAGCAGAATGTTAGGTTAAAAAAAGTCTTTTATCACTAAAGTAGGGGAAATTAATGAATTGTTCTCTCAATCTTATTTGGGTGTTACTTTTCTTATTCAGTGGGATAATTTTACCAACCGATTCATTATTCAATTATTTTTCAAGCATTTAAAAGGACTGCAGTAATCATAATTTGATGTAACCCTCCATTAATGCTTGATTCGTAACAATACCGGCCCTGGAATACCTTTATCTGATCAATACTATGAAAGATATTGTCCTTTGTCTAGGATTCAAAGTGTTTAATTCTGAAAATTCCTAAATTTGCCTTTATCTGATCAATACTATGAAAGATATTGTCCTTTGTCTAGGATTCAAAGTGTTTAATTCTGAAAATTCCTAAATTTGTTCTTGCAGTGGAAATGTGCAAGTCACTTTTTTTAGAAAACCACAATTGAAAGGAAGTAGTTTTAAAAATTATAAACATTAATATATATATATAATTCATATTTGAGCAGACAAGGCTATTCAGAGCATAATCGTTAGGAACGAGTATTAGGATGGATGGATGGTTACTTGAACTTGATGGTTCCTTTATTGGGTGCCAACTTGAAACCAAATTTGAATATTCGGAAAAAATGCAAGACACTATTTAAAAAATGTTCATCCTTCTTGAAACCCATTTTTAGAGTTGTCTGCTTAACAATTCAGAAACGGTAATATCGTAATGTAGACCAATCCAAATAAATTGCGAGGATTTGTCAAAAATCATAACTTCATATTTGTCTTATGAAAGTAGAGTTTTCTTTCATTTAATTCTAAACAGTAGTCTGATGTTTATTCAGACCATGTCATCCCCTTTCAGTCAATAAACCTACGTGTGGGGGTTGCCTTTAATAAATGTAGCTTGCTAACTAAAGAAAGTGCAAGTAAGATTGAAATCTGATATGTTTTCAATCATAACTTTCTTGAAGAGATATTGAAAAGAAAAAAATGTTTTGAATTTCTTATATAAAAACGGATAAAGTTGTGGCATAAAATCAAAACTAGAGAAGCTATGAGGTCACAAAGTCCTACCAGCGACGTCGCATAAATTTGACCTTCTCCTTCTGAAGTTCTATCTAGTTTCATTAATCATGTATTTGTAATATTCTTGACAATTCATTACTAATTCAAACTAAAACATGTTTTTAGTATTGCACTATACACAGTGAAATAATCAATTCATCTACTTGAAAATAGTTGTACCTAATTGTCCATAATAATAACATAACCACTTACGTGGTAAATTTTGAATCGAGAAATTATAAATTTTAAAACGAAAAGAAATTATCCCATAATGTTCATAAAATGTTCATAAAACGAAAAGAAATTATCCCATAATGTTCATAAAATGTTCATAAAACGAAAAGAAATTATCCCATAATGTTCATAAAATTCACGAAAGGAACGGAACTCAGAACAGGAAACTGAAAATGTCTAATTCCTAAATATATTAATGCAACCTGATGTAAACCTATATTATTTCAAACTTTGACTGAGCTTCATGCCCCTCCATGCCCGATTAACTCTTGAAACTTTTATCTTATCAATAATGAAGATGATATTGTTCCTTTTATAGGTTTAAAATTGTTTAAATCTAATGATTTCTTTCTATGTTTTACTGCATTGGAAATGCGCAAGTTACTTTTGTAGAGAAACTACAATTTAAAATAATTAATTCATACTTGATCAGACAAAGCTTTATGGGTACCGTTGTGAATTGGGCATCAAGGGTCACCTAAAACTACGCTTATAGTCCCTTTAAGCTGTAAGATTGGCTTAGTTAGAACCATGAAGCAAATTTGGGTTTGAATGTATTTTTAAATAATTGGACTGCCCCTTTAAATAATTGCCATATTTTAATATTCTTCTACATATTCTCAAATTTTCTTTTTTCAAAGAACAAAAAAACGATGTTTTGTAAAATCTATAATTCCTCGTAATATATTTTTATACAAACCTTGGTGTTTATTATTCTCTCTCCAGGCCTCCTTCTAAATTATGATATTACACCAATTTATTATTACATAAAATATATTTATGATTATTTCCTGACAATTGGTCTGTTTCTTGTTAATACATTACAACTGAATTTAATGGGCATAACATTTTTTTTCCTGAAGTAAATAATTAGTTATTTCTTAAACTTGTTAATTACATTTAGGATTTTAATTCACACAAAACTAAAACGAAGGAGCCTTTTTTAAAATTAAGTATTAATTACACCCCCCCCCCCCACCAGAGAAAGAGGAGTGAATGAGTGATACCTACTTTTTTATTACAAATTCTTTCTAGAAAATAATTTGGAAAGAACTATGATGATATGATGCTTTTTTTCATAGAAATTGTTATTGATATATTGATATTCATTCCATAAATATGCAGAAATTGTTCTTGACTTTTTTATTAATATCCTATGTGGGGGGGGGGGTTATCATCCCCCATTGCCACCCCTTGTATAAGCCTCTGATTTCCTTCTAACTGAGGCGCGACGATGGGGCAATAATAAGTTTGCACCATAAACCTCTTTATACCTATAATATAAGGCTCGGTCGCTCAAGAAGTTGCTAAGTAATATTGCGTTAAAGTTTTATAATTTTACGGAAAACTGGTAATTTCCGTAAAAACTCTTAAAATGGGTATTTTATATGCGAATCAGAGCCCAGACCAATACTTGGGCGGGCTTGTGGTGCCCCTATATCTAATACGCAGCTATGCTTCTTTCTTAGTAAAAGTAAATTCTACCCAATGAACTATATACAGGAACGCCCAACTCAGATATACGCATATTATGTACTGTACACTGTGGGAGAAATGTAAACAAACCCAGTGGCCCCACAGAAGTTGAAGGGAAAGGACTACAGATGTGATATTTCAGTCCAGAAAAAAGTTAATATATCAAGTTAGAGCGAATACTTATGATTTTTTTCTTTCTGGTCAATATGGAAAAGACAAAAGCAATATATTTTAATTCCACCCCTTGGGCCCTTTTCCCTCAAAAATTATGCGTTGCCCCTGAATTCTTTGGTTTGATCTCCTCCCACTGCAGTACACAGATTTGACGCATGAGATATGGCGGTTCCTGGTCTTTATATTTCTTGATTCTACCTATATGAAGCATAACGTCTGACCACGTCAATCTTGTTGCACCGGCTAGTCCTGTCCATAGAGCTAGGTACAAACTGGGACCAAAAGGTTGACCCGGCTCGGAAATTCAAATGTACTACGGCTGCCCGGTTGTCAGAATGTATTTATATATCTAGATTATCCTGAATTCTTTGTAACTTTGTGTAAAAAACCTATAACGTTTATGTCTTTCTTCCGAAATAGCTCGCTTTAACAAAGACGATATCTAAATACATACATTAGAAGCTTTGAAAAATCAAACCAAAGTTCTACACCACCCAACCCTTAAAATATACCTAACTACACCTTTTATAAGGTTAGCTATAATTTTGAAGTGTTAATTTGTTTAGTTTCCATTTGTTTGGGTGGAGTTTACATGACCGGCCTGGCATAGCTGGCTCCAGCTCACAGGGTCAACCTTCTTCAGTCAAATCTATTCTACTGTGGACACCATTACAATCCAGGTAACAGAATTTGGTCCAATCCTAGCACGAGAATTGGGCCGGGACCCTCTCTTTCCTATCACAGTTTCTGGACCAAACAAATACGGCTAAAACCGACTATGAAAATCTATTTTATACTTTGTTTATTTGTATCCAATAAACGTAATCGGGTCCAATTTTTTTGTGGAACCTCACATGATCCAGCTGGGAAGGTTTTTGAATGTTAAGATTGAAATAAATATTCTATAACAATTCTAATTTATTAAAATCCTCAAAAAATGAACAAATACGCAAAAATGTTTTGGTTTGATAATTAAAAAAGAGAGATTGCCGCAGATAAAAAAAATAGAAGATACAAATCAAATTTATTATTTATAAGTTTTCATAAAACAGAATCAATACTGCCCTTTAAATATTAGTTTATACAAAAATGGTTCTTAGAAAAGACTGTAGTTGCAAATAATCTTTATTTCAAAATTTAATACTATTTTTTTTAAGTTGGAGCAACTGGAAGCTAGAAAATCAGCAGGAAGAAAAATCTTCTCAGGAAATGTTTACAGTGATCGGATTCAGAAAAACAAATAAAGATCTCTTTGCTGGTGAAACATAGCAATAGTTTTTCAAAATATTTTGGTTCATTCAATGTAATCCAAGTTCAAACAAAAAAATTGTTAAAGAGAACATTTCATGTCAATTCAATGAATTGAATGAGAAATATGCAAGCTGTTTCTGTTTTCTTGCCGTTTCAAAGAAAGTTAGGATTATTTTCGATTCGTACTGAGTTTGTAACTTATGGTTGGCTAATCCTTTCCGGCGGATTAGTCTATTCCTTTTCAATATATCTCAAGGTACGACCAATAAAATCCACAAAAGATATTGTAAAAAGACGATTTGGCTAAATTTTAGCGTTTAAAGCATATGATCGTTTCAGACTAAAAGTGATCGCTGTGGATTACAGGCGTTGTTATTTTATAATAAAACTTCAACCAGGGGTGTATTTATGTTATAATGAAGTTTCAACCAGGGGTGTATTTATGTTATAATAAAGTTTCAACCAGGGGTGTATTTATGTTATAATAAAATTTCAACCAGGGGTGTATTTTTCTAAAAATCATTGACCCCCACCCTTTTAGAAAATCATTTTCCGCCAGAAGTAATTTACGTTTGCAGGGTTCGCAGACATTTGTACATTTGTACTATTAAAATACTTGCCTTTCAATGTCACATTTTAATTTTTTCCCCAAAATCATGAAAATCAACCCCCCCTCCCCCCGTAATTTAGAGTAATATACACCCCTGGTTTCAACCTCTAATTTTTTTTTCCAGCAATATAGGGCCTCCCTTACTAATATAAGCTGCCTGTGAACCTTCCTGAAAACAGTGTGAGTTTACTTGTGCCTTCACTCATGACCGAACTAAGTTGTCAACAGCTGACCTCCTACTAATCTCCTCATCTGATTTAAAGTAAGAACAGGTTTTTTTATTCCTCGTGGATTTTTGCCTGAACCATGTGTTCACAATGGATTTCCGGTTGGTTAAGCTGATTTATAGTTTTGTTTCTTTAAGGAAAAGCTAGAAAAATTGTATTACAATGCAGCGATAACCATTAGATAGCAGAATAATTGTTGTCTTTGCTCTTTTTTAAAATCAAAATACTGAATATGATTTTGTAAGTGTTATACAATTTTGCAGATTTATCAGGTCTTTATCAGGTACTTTATCAGGTACTTTATCAGGTACTTTTAGAACATTCATCTCAGCATTGAACAGTTTACATGGATCATTGAATAACTAAAAATCAATTGAGTCGTATCCATATTCTTAAAATGGTCTTTATGTGGCAAGGAGCGGGGTGTTGTATTTCTACAGAAAACCCAGTTTTGAATCAAAATGCTATAGTCAGTGTAGGTTAATATATTGTAAAACTGACCTAGTTTTTAACATGTTTATGACTTAAACTTGAAAGAAAGTTCTGGCGTAAAAATGTAAATGTAATTTTAGAAAAACTGATCTACCGAGTAGAGTACCTTACAAACATCAGCTCTGGGGCCTAGTACATGCATCTCCATCTTCCAGGTATACCTTGAGTGACTTAATGTACATGCATCTCCAGCTTCCAGGTACACATTGAGTGACCTATTGTACACTGAACAGTGTACATGTATACCAAGCTTTCAGATTCATCTACTGTACAATGTAACTCCCGCTTCCAGGTACACTTACCATACAATGTACATGCATCTCCAGCTTCCAGGTACACCAGACACCTACTGTCCAGTGTACATGTATTCACAGCTTCCGGGTACGCCTACTATACACTGCACATAAATTCACAGCTTCCAGGTATAACTGCTGTACATTGTTCATGCATTCCAAGCTTCCAGGTACACTACTGTATACTGTGCATAAATCCTTAGCTTCCAGGTACACCTACTACACACTGCACCAGCTTCCAGGTACAATACTGTACACTGTACATGTATCCCCAGCTTCCAGGTACACTACTGTACACTGTACATGTATACCCAGCTTCCAGGTACACTACTGTACACATTACATACATCCACAGCTTCCAGGTACACTACTGTACACTGTACATGCATCTCCAGCTTCAAGATACACTACAGTACGCTGTGCATATAATGCATGCACACCTTTCAGGTACACTACTGTACACTTTACATACATCTCCAGCTTCCAGGTACACTACTGTACACTGTACATGCATCTCCAGCTTTCAGGTATACAACTGTGCACTGTACCCAGCTTCCAGGTACACCTAATGTTCACTGTACTGTATTCCCAGCTTCCAGGTACACTACTGTACACTGTACTGTATTCCCAGCTTCCAGGTACACCTACTGTTCACTGTAAATGTATCCCCAGCTTCCAGGTACACCTACTGTACACTGTGCATGTATTCCCAGCTTCCATCTACACCTACTGTACACTGTACATGCAGTTTATAGTAATCGTCTTCTTCTTATGTTCTTCCTACCAACATCGTTTATCAGTTATCTATAATATATATTTATTTATTGCAGAAGTTTTATCAAATTATTTCCTGCTTCCTCTAAAGAAATGTTTAAACGGCCCTGCAACCTTCTACTAACAAATATTCGGGCTTAAAAGGACTTTGAGCGCAATTTTAAGCAATGCCTGTTTATCAAGTATAAATTAGATATCAATGTTTATAATCTTGAAAACTGATTTTCAAAATGCACATTTTTACTGTATTTCATAAATGAATTATCAGGATCGATTAAACACCTTTAAGCCTAGAAAAACGACGATATCTTCCACATTATTGATCAGATGAAGATTTTAAGGTTGCCGTTGTGAATTTGTTGAAATTACACTTTCAAGTCGCTTTAAATTCTAAAATAATTGTTTAGTCTAAATTGGGCACTCAAAAGCTTTGCCTTCAGTTTTTTCCCCAAAGCTAAGTGTCGAAAGAATAATAGTTACACATAATTTACACATAAACCAAATTTTGTGGTGAACACATTCTTGTACATTTAATTCTATAGTTTCTAATGGTAAAACTTGCGTAACTTATTCATAAACATGCTATTGGCATACATTTCCTTGTTTGTAAAACTTACAATTATGTCTTGTCAAAATTGTTAAATTAAAAACCTGCATTTCTTGAACTTTGTCAGGTCCCACAAACACATTTGTGCCTGATCCGCCTGAATGGTCCAGCCCACATGAGTAGATATTTATAGAGGTTCAGTGTACTGAATACAGCAAGCAAGCTGGACAAAACTGTACAATTTTAGAAAGATTGGGGTTGTTTGTGTACGTATTTTTAAAAACAAGTTATTTTACCAGTGCTTCCTTTGCTTACTTTTTTAAAAACATTTTTTGGGGGAAATATCTATCTATCTCTCAGATCATTTAGTTTTGGTGTGTACGCCGGCAAAATGCCCACCAAATATACGATCTAAATATATGCCAAAACGAAGTTTAAAACAAACTCTGCAGTATGTGTACTGTATGAACCCCACTTCCTCTTGGAATCGAGGTTTCGTGAGAGGAGTTGGCTGAGGCCTAAGGTTCCATGTAATTTTTTTTGACTGACATCTGACGGTCACTTGTTTCATTCAGGGGTTGAGTTTTACAACTTTTAAAGAAATACTCCGATTTTAAACATAAAAAAATAACGTTTATGAATATTGTCTATTTTTAAAGATTTAGCATTTCCTATTTAAAGGATCCTTAAATATCCCTGAATAAACCCAAGTAACAAAAGCGACTTTCTTTGAAGAATTTCCAAGGAATTTCTCTAGAATCAATTCTTGTAACTGATTCCTTGGAAATTCTCGAGAAATTCCCCAGAATTGGTCCCCAAGATGAGAGATTTTTGTGGGATCACAGTTTTGAGACTCAAGTTTCCAGAAATTCCTGAGAAATTCTTCGGAATTTTTCCCCACAAAATTCCTCAGAATTTCTCCAAAATATTTCTCCAGAAATTCCTGAGAAATTCTTAGGACTTGGTCACAATGTTTACGGATTTTTAGGGAAATTTATTAAGAGAATTAGTTTCTAGAAATTCCTGGGAATTTCTCCAGAATTTCACCCCAAGAAAATCCTGAAATTTCTCCTAACTACTTCTCCGGAAATTCCTGAGAAATTCTTAGGACGTGGTCACCATGTTTAGGGATTTTAAGGGGAATTTAATAAAAGAATTAGTTTCTAGAAATTCCTGGGAATTTCTCCGGAATTTCATCCCAAGAAATTCCTGAGAAATTCTCCTGAATGCTTCTCCGGAAATTCCTGAGAAATTCTCAGGACTTCACCACAGAATTTTCAAGTTCTGTTTTTCTCCAATAAAAATAACACAAAAATTTCGCGAAAAAATATGGTTCATTTAAAAGATTCTCTCTTGTAATTGGCTGGCTCATGGCTAGCTGGATTTGGATGAACGTAAATGGACGGACAGAAAGTCAGAAAGATAGCTAGAGAATTCAAATTCTCTATATCAAACATTTATTAAAGTAAAGGAAAAGAAATCTATGATATAATAAGACTTCAAATGTTTAGCTCTCAGCGGAAAATTCCACAAGTTCTTTTGCGCAATTAATTGTTGCATTTTTTCTCTTTTTCCATTTTTACGAAAAAATGCGAAATTTCACGAAAATAATTGCGAAAAGCGAGCGAACATTTTCACATTTTCACATTCACGGTCACATGTCTCAGGGTGTATCTATCAAAAATAAAAATAAAAATTATACGATAATAATTGGAGAAAACCTAAGTTACAATTAGTTTTCTCTGGGATATCTTCATTTCCAGATTCTTTAGGGTACTGCTGTGAATCATACATGTCACTCTTTCAATTAAGAGTCACTTGAAATTAAGTTTACTGTCCCTTTAAGGTTTAATAGTATATGTTGACTGTGTACAGGAGAATAATAAGACTTCGTTTCCATCCACACATTCTAGTATTCAGGTAATTGGGTTTAAAAATTACAGGGTGTCCCAAAAAAGGTAATGAGGTTTTTTGAAACCTTTAAACGTTTTTTAAAGTCTCAAATTAGGAGTTACAAATTTAGTTAACATACAGCTTTCAATTCTGCAGACGGTCTTCATTATATTCTTTGTTGTTGATCCGAAGTCTGCTTAATTTATTTACTATTTATTTACACACAATTTGGATAACTTGCAGTTGACCATTTGACTGCTTGCTATAAAAAACTTTGAAAATGTTTTAATTTTTAGTTTGAAAAAGGAATTTTATGTTTATTGTTAAATTGTTTTTTTTTTGTAGAACCTGTTTTCTGGATTGCTAGACTCTGCTGCAGAAAAGGGAAACACTGTAAAAAACCACATATCTCAACACTTCTCAACAGGTAAACAACTGGGTTAGGAAAAATCTCTGTAAGACAAACTACAGGGTGTCCCAAAAAACATGGGAATTCAGTGACGAATTCGATATCGTCTTTGTTATAAATTAGCCAACTCAAGAAAATGTTGTAAATTTTGTAGTTTGTTTTCTTTATGCTTCAGATATAGTGGTGAAATTTATACTTCTCTACAAACCACCAAAGATTATTATTGTATATTGTGGTAAAATTGATTATTTTTACAACAGTTTTAGTTCTTTTATTCAGTGAGATCCAGACAATATTGTGCAATGAAAATCGTCTTTTTTTTCCTTTAATATAAGAAATGTCGCGATAGGGGTTTTTGAACTTACAAGTTGCAACTGATATTTCTAAAAACTTTCTGGGAATTTTTTTAAATAATCATTCAGTGGGAAATAAAAAAAAATTTATGAAAGAAAAAAAGAAGATAATTCCATTGTTTTTTGGTTCTCATCTACCTACCCTAATCCGACCCATGAAAAGTGCTAGGCAATTATATCAATATAATGAAGACGACTTTTTTGTTTAAGTTTTAATTGTTAGCAAGCTTTTTTTTTCGAATTACAAGATTACAAGAAATTGACAGAATCTCTTTGTTTCCATCCATTGCTGTTTTAAAGCCTGATTTAAATCAAAATTGAAATCGAAAGTCGTCTTCATTATATTGATATAATAAAAAATAAGTAAATAGTAAAAATAAGATGTAACAAAATTAAGAAATATTAATGTAATTTCAAGGGACTGCATGTCCGATTCACAACTGTACCATCAAAAGCTCTGCCTAATTAATAATAAATTAGATGCATAGTTTTGTTTCTGAAAACTGTTTATTTTGATTTGTGGTTTCTCTGCAAAAGTGACATGTACGTTTCAGATTTAATAGAAAAATGATCAGAATTGAACACTTTCCCTGATAAAAAGGGCCGTTTTGCTCCAAATTAATAACAAGATCAAGATTGTTGTGAATTGGTTTACCCCTCTTGAATTAGAGGGACACCTAAAATTACGACTATAGTCCCTTTAATATTTCAATAATCTGTTTAGTGTGGATTTGAGTGGAATGTTTTTTGATTTGTTCATCTCCTACCTTCCTCAAGCTGATCTTAATATTAACAAATATAGAATTCAGGAACAGGAACATATAAACTATATTCAGAAACAGGAACATATAAACTATATTCAGGAACATATAAACTATATTCAGGAACATATAAACTATATTCAGGAACATATAAACTATATTCAGGAACAGGAACATATAAACTATATTCAGAAACAGGTACCTTTAAACTAAATTCAGGAACAGGAACATAAATACTATATTCAGAAACAGAACATATAAACTATATTCAGGAACAGAGCATATAAACTATTTCAGGAACAGGAACATATAAACTATATTCAGGAACATATAAACTATATTAAGGAATATATAAACTATATTCAGGAACAGGAACATATAAACTATATTCAAGAATATATAAGCTATATTCAGGAACACGAATATACAAATTATAATCAGGAACACACAAAATATAATGAGGAACATACAACCTTTAATAAGGAACAAAAAAATTATAATCGTGAACATACAAATTGCAGTCAGAAACACACAAACTATAACCAGGAACACACAAACTATAATTAGGAACACACTAACTGTAATCAGGAACACACTAACTATAATTAGGAACCTACTAACTATAGTCAGGAACACACAAACTATAATCAGGAACACACAAACTATAATCAGGAACATACAAACTATAATCAGGAACACACAAAATATAATCAGGAACACACAAACTATAATCAGAAACACACAAACTATAATCAGGAACACACAAACTATAATCAGGAACATACAAACTATAATCAGGAACACACAAACTATAATCAGAAACACACAAACTATAATCAGGAACTTACAAACAAGAATCAGGAAAACACATCACTATAATCAGTAACACACAAACTATAATCAGGAACATACAAACTATAATCAGGAACACACAAAATATAATCAGGAACACACAAACTATAATCAGAAACACACAAACTATAATCAGGAACACACAAACTATAATCAGGAACATACAAACTATAATCAGGAACACACAAACTATAATCAGAAACACACAAACT